GCTGGTGCCTGGCTACCACTACCTACCATTCTGAATCGAACACAACAGAAGGTCCTTGTTGACATGAGTGAAAATGTAGAGCAAAGTTAAACTTCATAAAAATGAGCAGACTTAATGGTGATAGTGACAGAAAGAACCCCTAGGACTAATACTGCAAGCTACACTTACTACATGAACTGAAGCTACTTCTCAAAGCCACCTCTCAACTAAATAGTGTTGTTGTTGTTGTTGTTGTTAGGTGCTGTCAAGTAGAAACCAACTCATAGCAAACCTTCCAAGTGGGGTTTCAGAAGCAGTAAATTGCATAGGAGATTACTCATCTTTCTCTCAAGAAGCAAACAGTGGATTCAAACCGTATGCCTTTGTGTTGGCAGCTCGACTTTTTAGTATTAAGCCATCAGAGCTCCCTAACTATAGAATAGGCTGCTGGCCTACAAGGCAAACAATAACATCCATGAGGTATGTGCTTCATAAAACAAGTAAGACTATGAGCCCAAAAGGACGATATGAGCCCACAAGGGCAACTTCCCCAAAAGTAAAGATGAGAAGGAAAGGAGGGCCTAGGCAGCTGGATGGATGAAAATGGGGAACACGAACTAGAAATGGAAAAAGAGTTGACACGTTATGAAGATTGTAAGAAGTGTAACAGAAAAAGTTGAGTGTGAAATATTGAGTAGAAAATGAATTTGTGGTGTAAACTTTCACCTAAAGCATAATGAACTATAACGGGGGGTTGGGGGGGACGGGAGCAGAGAGAGCTAGGTCTTCAAAACACATACACACACACACACACACACACACACACACACACACACACATTCCTGTTATCTATCAATCAATCTTTGGATAGTCTGCATGAAAGCTTTTTGACATATCTAATGATTTCAATTATTGTTATTGCTTAGGCATAAGTGATTATCTCAATATAATTTTCATTTGTGTTTTATAAACTCTCCTTTTGGGGGGCAAGAAAATAACACTTCTTTTTAAGAACTTATTTTAAAAATTATTTTTCTTTCACATTGGCTTGCATATAAGAATCATATACATGGTATTTCATTTATATACATTGTGTTTCACATATTCCTCTATTCACATTGTTTTTCATATGATCATTTCTATACATTGTGGTTTTTCTTTAAAGAAAATTTTATTTTAATTATGATTATAACAAACATTTACAGAGAAGTTAGATTTTCATTCATTCATTGTTGCACATTTTACCACCTCTCCCTCTCTTCTCTCTCCACCAGTTCAGTTTTTTTAAAATATTCATTCATTGTTGCACAATTACCTCCCTCCATCACACACCACCCAGTCCTCTTTGCAGTGATATATCTCTTATTCTGGGCTGTTGTGTACATATAATAGGTATCATATATCCCCTTTAATCAGTTCTTTCCTTCATCTGTTCCAATGTAATGGTAATTATTTATCCATTCTTATCCTATTCTTCTCTCAATCCCCCATGTCAATCTTGTTTTATATCAGTGGTGTTGTGCAGTATTTGTCTTTTTGTGGTTTAGATATTTGACTCAACATTGTGCTTTATAAAATGAATCACCATTGATCCATGCCCACCATTACCTTGCCTTTTCAGATATCCGTTTGGTCTTTCCTAATTTCTTCACCCCATCACTCTGTCCACCAAACTCTGCAACCTTGAGATTTCCTCCTCCTCCACCCTCAGTTTTCCTTCTCCCACCCCTTTGCCCTTTCAACTTTTGTACACATTTTACCTTCTACATTTGCAAGAGCCTTATAAATTGGTCTTTTGCAGTATTTGTCCTTATGAGTCTGAGTTAGTTTACTTAACGTAATGTACCAGCAGCCAGGAACTCAAGAGACAAATTGCATTGGGAAAGTTACCTGTCAGGGACCTCTCAAGAATACTGAAGATCAATGACATCAGGGTGGAGACTAAGGTGCACCTGATCTGAGCTATAGTCTTTGCAGTTATATGCTATGCATCGGAGAGTTGGACAATGACTAGGGATGATAGTAAGAGAATTGATGGCTTTGAGCTGTGGTGCTGGAGAAGAGTTTTGAACAAACCATGGACTGTTAGGAGAGCAAACAGGTTTGTCCTGGAAAGAGTGAAGCCGGAATGCTCCTTGGAGTCAAGGATTCTGAAGCTTCGTTTGACATACTTTGGGCATGTTGCAAGGAAGGAATGGTCCTTGGAATGGGACATTATGTTTGCGGAGAGTGGAGGGATGCCACAGAAGAGGAAGACCCTTGATGAGATGGATCTATTCTGTGATTGGGGTGGTGGGAGTGAGTGTGTCGGAGATGATGCAATTGGCACAAGATAGAGCAGGGTTTTACTCGATGACACAATAATAACAAAAACAACAATGCTTTCTAGCCTCTCCCATCGTCTTTTTTTCTTTTGTAAACATTTTTAATTGATTTGCTTATGCAGTTTGTATACATTGGGTTTCACACTATTCTTCATTCACATTGTGTTTCCTACAATAAATATTATGCATTATTGTTGTTAAGTGCCATCGAGTCATAGACGATTCATAGCGACCCTATGAATGAAAGCCCTCACCACTTGCCTGACTTTCATCCTTTCTCAAGGTTTACAGGGTTTCTAGAGGCAAGCTATTTATGGAAGTAGATGCCACTCCTGCTTCCAAACTTGTTTTATTTGGGGCACTCCACCAAACACTGTCCATCATGGGTAACCATTATCGCATTTGACACATCAGTGTCACAGTGTTCACCTTCACAGCAACCACAAATTACCTCTGTATGCATTATGCATTGTTGTTGTTGTTATATTCCATTGAGTCGCTGCGACTCGTAGTGACCCTATGTACAACAGCCCTAAACCCTGCTCTATCCTGTGCCAATCGCACTGCACCCCGATTACCCCAGACACTGAATCAATTCACCTCACAGAGGGTCTTCCCTTTCTGTGCTGTCCCTCCACCCTACCAAGCATGATGTCCTTCTCCAAGGACCTGTCCCTTCTTACAACATGTCCAAAGTATGTCAGACGAAGCCCCAGAATCCTTGCCTCCAAGAAGCAGCCTGGTTTAACCCTCTCCGGGATGAATCTGTTTGTTTTCTTGGAATCCAGGGTACATTCAATACTCTTCTCTAGCACCACAGCTCAAACGCATCAATTCTCCTTCAGTCCTTCCTAGTCATTGTCAAACTCTCTGATGCATAACAAGTGATTGCAAAGACCATGGCCTGTATCAAACGCACCTTGGTCTCCAGAGTGACACCATTACTCTTCAGTACTTTGGCGAGGTCCCTAACAGCAGACTTTCCCATCGCAATACATCTTTTAATTTCCTGGCTGCTGGTGCCGAGAGTGTTGACTGTGGAGCCAAGCAAACTAAAGCTGTGAACAATTTCAATCTCTTCACCATCCATTCTGATGCTGCCAGTTGTTCCAGTGGTGAGAATCTTTGTCCTTTTGATGTTGAGCCTCAATCCATACTGAAGGCTGCAGTCCTTGACCCTCTGCAGCAAGCGTTTCAGGTCCTCCTCAGT